TTTTGTTGTTGTTTGTAAACCTAGACTTTTATAGTAAAACATTTGCTAAATTCTCTCATTCCATTCTTGTGGAAAAGATAGAGCCGTGAGAGCTGAGTCTGTGATGATACAAGTACTTCGATTGAGACCTGGTTGAATGGACAGACCCAAAAAGTCATCACTAATGGTTCAGTATCATCTTGGATGGGGAATTCCAGTGGATTGCCCAAGGGATTTATGCTTGGCTTTGTCCTGTCATTTAAAAAAAATACTTTTTTATTGATATCTTATTTTTTCATGTCATCATAGTTTTCCCCAGTGTTCCTCTGTTTTTCCCTCCCAAGAGACATCCCATATAACAAATAGTATTTTTAAGATTAAAAAAAGAAAAAGGAAGAAAATGGGCACAACTGATCGATTAATTGAAAAGTCTGAAAAGTATGAAATGTCAATACATAATGTAAATGTAAAAATATGTAATGTGGACCTACCACCTCTAATGAAGGGGTGGATTAGTGGTGTCCTCTCATACCTCTTCATTCAGGTCATGCTTGGTGTTTATACTTTGGCTATATTCACTTTTGACTTTTGTGTGTGTGGTTGTTAGAGTCATTGTGTATATTTTCTTTCTGGCTCTGCTTACTTCACTCTGCATCAGTTCATATAGCTCTTTCCATGCTTCTCTGTATTTATCTCACACATCATTTCTTACAACACCATAACATTCCATTATATTCCTGTACCTCTGTTTGTTTAGCTGTTCCCCAATTGATGGGCATCTACTTTGTAATTTTTTGCTATTGCAAAAAGTACTGCTTGAAGTATTTTGGTGTGCTAGATGACTTTGTTCCTATTGATGGCTTGCTTGTGATGTAAGCCCAGTAATGGGATTTCTGGGTTGAAAGAGTGAGGACAGTTTATAGTCACTTTATTTGCATAATTCTAAATTGATTTCCAAAATGTTTGTGTTATTTCGTAGCTCCAGAAACAATGTATTAATGTGCTCGTCATCATCCTGCAACCCCAACATTGCTGCCATTTTTTATCATCTTGGCCTGTTTGCAGGGGGTGTTCTTTTATGTGCTTCTGAATACTTTTCAGTTCTTCTCTTGAGAACTGTTTGTTCCTATCAATCTTTTGGGGAATGGCTATTAACTTTGCACTGTCTTAACATTGTTATCGACAGTTTGGTGACATGCTCATCAAATTTGCAAATGGCACAAAGCTGGAAAGGACACCAGGTGCCCTGGATGACAGAGTCAAGATCTAAAAAGATCTTCATGGGCTAGAATGTGGAGCCAAATCTAGTGTGATGAAACTCAGTGGGGAACAACGTAATGGCATATGCCTGGGTTGAGAAAGTACCAAATGGGGGAGGCATGATTAGGCGTAGTTTGTCTGAAAAAACATCTGGCAGTTTTAAGGGACTGCAAACTCCTCATGAGTCAACAGTGTGATATGGTAGCCAGAAAAAACTCATACATCCTGGGATTACATTGAGAGGGCTTAGGTGCCAGGCATTAAGAAGGTGGGAAACAGATGGTCCTCTGCCCAGGTGAGGCTACTACTTCAGGGATGTGTTTAAGAAGGATGTTGGACATGACTAATGTGAAAATATGTTTAATACTTAATATGAATGTATATGCAGAGCCTATATCAGATTGCATGCCCTCTTGGGGAGGGGAAGAAAATTGAAAACTCAAAAGGTTGTGGAAGTGAATATTGAAAACAAAAAATAAATTTAAAAAATATGAAGTGTTCTGTAAGAGTGAAAAAAAAAGAAGGATGTTGGAGATGTTCTAGAGAATATACAGAAGGCAGTCAGGGGAAGGAAAGGTCTCAAGGTCACATCATCTGAACATCAGTTAAAGGGAGGTGAGAACAGGGGATGGATAGCTGTTTCCATGTGCTCTAAAGACTGACGTGAAAAGATGTTCCTAGAAGGCTGATCTGGAAACAGTGGGTAGAAGTTGCAAAGGGTCATGTTAAGGCAAATTTTTCTTTGATAGAAGGAAAAACTTCCTAATTAGAGCTACCCCAAGTGGAATGGGCTCCCTCGGGAGGTAATTGGAGGTCTTTAAGGAAAAACTGAATGAGGGCTTGTCAGATATGTCATGGATAGAAGCTGGAACTGAATGTGTGATTTCATTGGGCTGAATACCTACCTGGTGAGAAAACTCTTTTCCACTGCAGGTTGGCACCTTCTCTTCGCTGTAGAGTCTTAGAGAGTTGCTTAGAGCTCTGACAGGCTGGTTCTTAATTCAGTATGCCACACTGCCTCTATTATATGGCTAAGTGGCTCCCAAGGCCCCTTCCACCTCTGAGATTCTATGATTTTAGATAGCTTACTGGTCTTGGATCATCCAAAACCTTTCTTTCCCTTTCTTTACAGCCCTCTCCTCCTCTCTCCTCGCCACTTTACCGCTGTGACTATTTCTCAGTGCCTTGTTTTTGTTCTATTCTCTTTCCCCTTCTGTTCTATCTCTTTTCCTTCCTCTTTTTTCTTCATTCACTTCAAAATATGATACTGAAGTATGTTTTTAAATGTTCATCTTGTTTGCTGAATATAACATCATGTTCCCTCTTAATGAGAGAATCAAGGGAGAGTAACCTTTCTCTCAAAAAAAACATCAGCCCCACATGGGCCTTGATAAAATGTGTTTTTCCTGCTACAAGTCAATAACTCTCACCCTCTTCTTACCCCCAGTCTAGCCATTTAGGACCATATCACTAAGAGAAAACAACATAATCAAAAGCCAAAATTCTGAGTGATTCACTGGTAAAGCAGGAAGGAAAATGATGACTCCTCTAATAATAGCTTTAGGTGATGAACGAGGCATGCATTTTCTTCCAGCCTCCAAGAATGTTTCTTTTCAAGCCTCTTAACTATAGTGATGATGACTGCAAGGGCATAACAGTGACATCTTTTTTTAAGAGAATATAGGAAGGTAGTCTCTAGTCAGCGAGGCTTCTTGAGCTCTCTCTCTCTCCTCTCTCTCTCTCTCTCTCTCTGTATATATACATATATATATGTGTGTGTATATATATATATACACACACACACACACATATATGTATGTATATATATCTTTATTAAAGCTTAAAACTTTTTGGGACATACATATACATTTTTATATTTTTAAAAATTTCCTTTTTTACGTAAAATATTTTTTATTTTTCCCAGTTACATGTAAAGATAATCTTTAACATTCATTTAAAAATTTTTTTGAGTTCAAAATTTTCTTTTTCCCTCCCTCCTCCCTGAGACAGTAAGCAATTTGATATGTACATATACATTTTTTTTTGCCCCAGAACCCCTTTCCCTCCTCCCACATTTACAATTTAAACTACTTTCCCACTGCCCCTAGTGGGTTCCCTCCTTTCTAGTTCTGATGTCACCAAACCAAATAAATATCTCTTACCTGCTTGATTATCTTACTTATCTGCTACTGACGTTGTCTGTTAGCCCTTAAATCCCAAACAAATCCAGCAGCTCATTCAGATTTGTAAAGATGCACGGCTTAGTTTTTTACTCCGTCATTCTGGTCTCCTTTTTGGTGTTGGCATGTGGTTACCTGTCATGTTGGTTTTGTAAACTCCTGGAGGGCAGGCCTCTGTCATATCTAAGCTAATGTATTTTTCCTGCCGTGACACAAAAGGTGAAATATTCATTGTCTTTATAGCCTTTTGGTCCATATTCTATAGTTGAGGAAATTGAAAGATAGAGAATGAATGAAAAAACATTTTTAAGTACTTATTACTATGTAGCACCCTGCTGAGTATTGAAGATAAAACTATAACAGCAAAGACATTCCCTGGTTAGGGAATGTAAGGCAAGTTTAAATTCTAATGGAGGAGACAACACAGTCTGTTAAGGAGTAGATTGACAGATCCCTTCAAGGAACAATGTAGAGTTGATTTGATAATGATTCCAGAACTGAAGTGGGTGGGAATGTTATCCCATCAGTGTCTAGGCTGTCCAGAAGAGGGCCAGGGAGCAGGGTGTGAAGTGAAACATGGCTGGGCCCTGCTTGAACTAGTGGGCTAGGTGGGGGCACTCATCAACCAAGGCAGGGGGGCCGCTGGAGCGGAAGTTCTGAGATGAATGGGTTAAAACCTCCAGGGCATTGGTTCTGGTCCAGATATCAAGGCTATTAGGAACAACTTGGTGGTTGGAAATAGAGACAGTTCTCACTTTATATCAGTGGACATTCCACAGACTTCTACATAAAGCAATTTTTATATAATGCAAATTTGTCTGTGGACATGGAAAAGGGAAAAGGGAGGGAGTCAGGAAGGAGGCTGAGTGTCAGGGAAAGAAGGGGGCTGTACACAGTTCAAAGACACATCGGCACTGGGGACAGAGAAGTGGAGGTCATGGCCAGACACGTGGGGGCCAGAGACGGGAGAGTACTGGCTACGTGGGGGCCAGGGACAGACATGCAATATGTAGGGGGCAGACGCATGGGCAGAACAGGATAAAGGTCTCCTCTTAGCATCAGAGGCCCCAAGCCAAGCCCCTGATCCAGCTGCAGCGGCAGCGGCAGCAGCAGTCTCTCCTACTATCTCTTCTTCTGCTTTGACTTGGGGGTCTTTTTTAAGGATTTTGTTTTATTTTTTAGTAGGGGAGTGAGAGGCTGTAGAGCTCTGAGCTAAGCTGAGGGGCAGGAGGCGAGAGAGAGAGAGAGAGAGAGAGAGAGAGAGAGAGAGAGAGAGAGAGAGAGAACACAGCACTTGTATGGTAAAATTAACATAGGTTTTTTTTGGAATGTGGATTTCCTTCAGAATTCTACAAAGTCGAATTTGCATAATGAGAATTTACATAAAGTGAGAACTGTGTCTGCAGCCCTGGGACCCCCTAAGGGCTATTGAAACCTTTTGGGAAGCTAAACTATAGTAGATAATTTCTTATTAAAAATTATACCCTTTCCTCTCTAACCTTTGAGGCATTTATTCCCCCCCTCACTGACACCTTTATCCTTCATATTCTCTAGCTAATATGCCTTTTTTCCTCTTCTCAGTGGAAGAGGTTTGCAAGCTTCCAGGCGTCCAGCTGGAACCTTTGCCCAAGGTGGTGCTCCAGACTTTTGCTAACCACCTTGAGAAGAAGTCTCCTCGCCCAGATGAAGTCCCCGAGGCCGACCTCTCCACAGTAGATTCAAAACTTGTGTCTGGTTTGATGCCCTTCCAGAGAACTGGAGTCAAGTAGGTGCCTCTATCTTGGGTCAAGCAGATCACTGCCATGTTTTCATTCTATAAGATGGGTGCTGTCCCAGTCACCTATAATAGAAGCTTATCCCTATTAATTTCTTTTGGAAACATTTAATTAGTGATTATTGTGACTATCTGTGGTCTTAGAGTGCATCCATAATCTACAGATGGTGCTAATTTTAGCCATTAATTTTAACCTCCTTTGCATGGCCTTGTTCTCCTAATTTTTAAAAATTAAGTGCCTGGGAATGTAGATAAAAAATCAAGCTAGCCCCTGCTATTAAGGAGCTCACTTTCTGACAGAGGACAAAACACATATGGGAAGGTTTGAATGCAGGGCAACTGGAAAGTCCCAATCGTCTTTTGATTACATGGCAAGACTGGTGGTATTTCATTTTTTTTTAATGTCATATCCATTCAGATACTGATGCATGTGACTGTGCCCAGGACTTTGGTGGGACTTCAGTAGCTGAGGCTGCGGAGGAGATTGGGACTGGGGACCTACCGAGGGACAGGTCAAGAGTTGCTCCTCTGGATAAGCGCTTCAGAGGCCAGTCAATCAGCAATATTTATTATTAAGCACTTACTGTGTGCCAGGTCCTGTGCCATACACTGGGGGGACAAAGAAAGGCAGAAGCAATCCCCCTCATCGAGGAGCTCACCGTCCAACGGGGAGACAGCATGCAAACAGCTATGTAGATATAAGATATGTTCAGTGTAAATGGAAGAGCTCAGAGGGAAGGGATCAATGAATTTGGAAGCAGGGGGATGCCCTGGGAAGGAGGGTTACTCAAGATCTCTTAGGTTCAGAGCCTAAGCTGCCTCCACCGTGGGAGTTACTGGGAGATGGTGGCAGTGTTTGGGCCCTCCTGAAATATTTGCTTGCAGATAACAAAGTTAGTTGGTTTGAATTAAATCTTCCTATTCCAATCCATCTTCTGTTCAGGTTCTAATAATCCACAAAATGACCAAAAAGGAGGCGAGAGACGAGAAACAGGAGAGCTTGAACAACCAGCCCCAGAATAATAAAGTTGCTTGTATTAGGCAGTATGGTTAGAAAGGTTATTTCTGGAGAGAGAACTGATGAACTCTGAGTGCAGATTGAAGCGTATTTGTAATTTTAAAAATTTTCCTTGCCTTTTTTTTTTTGGCAATGTGACTAGTAGGGAAATGTTTTGTGTGTATGATGGGTATCATATTGCCTTCTCAATGGATGGTGGAGGGGCTGGTGAGAGGGAAAGAATTTGGAACTTAAAATTTAAAAAAAGAATATTGAGGGGGCAGCTAGGTGGCGCATTGGATAGAGCACCGGCCCTGAATTCAGGAGGACCTGAGTTCAAATGCAGCCTCAGACATGTAACACTTAACTAGCTGTGTGACCCTGGGAAAGTCACTTAACTCCATTGCCTAACAACAACAAAAAAAAGAATATTGAAAAATAATAAAAGATATTTCTGTACAGCTGAGAGATGGGAAGAAGTAGCACCTGAATCCTTGACTGTTTAGAAATAGCCTAGCAGCTCCTAACAAGAAGCCATATCCATTAAGGAGATGTATCTTAATTTGGATAGATAGCTGTCAGATATTCTTCTGAATCTGGGAACCCATCCCCATTATATGCCTTGGCTTCCAGCTGTGTCTGTCAGCTATTTCCCTTTCATATCCTCCCATCACCACCATAGTCTCCCCCACCCCCCAAGTAAAACCCCAACTACTTCGAAACAATTCTTATCTCTCCTTGGCATCTCTATCCTTTATCTATTTAAGACCCCCTTTGGGCCTTGTTTTAACCAGTTTCTTTCTGTGCAGTTCATTCCTTTAATCTTTCTTCCTATGGTTTTTTCATTAAGGTTGATGGAGATTACCCATCCCCTGCTGTGCCAAGCTCCCTTCTTAGAATACCAGCTCTTCATCAGTTCCATTGGAGCTCCTCAAGCCGGGGCTATCTATTAACCTCATTTCCATTTGCATTAAACCAATTTCTGAGAGTGCCTGGGTTTAAGGTGCACCTCACTCCTGGGTCGGCCTGGCAAACTGGAATCTTGGTAACTCTTGATCTTTTGTCCTCTCTTTGAAAAGGCAGGTGCTGAAGCTACTAATGGTGTTCTTGGCCTTTCTTCCTCGCTTTCTGATTCAAATCCAGACTTGAGGGCAGAAACTGGGAGAGGAGCATTTCCTCCACGCTGTTCATTTCCCTGTGCTACAGGCGGATTATGGTCAGCAGTTACCTAGGAAACAGTAATCCAGTTTGTTGGCAATCCAGGCTTCTTCATCCTCCTCTTCCTCTTTCTTAACAACTCTGCCGCCTACAAGTCCCTGCACCCTGGATTAGTCAGAAAAAAGGAAAGGAATTAGAACCCAGTGTCAGACATTGAGTGCCCAGAGGGGCCTCAGAGATCAATCAAGCCCAGCACAGCATTTGTAGGATGGTGGAGAGAGTATTGGCTCTGGAGTCAGAAAACCAAATCTGGGTCCAAATCCTACTACTGGCGTGGCCTGAGCAAATCACCTGGGGCTTAGCCTCTGTATGTATAAGGGAAGGAAATTGGACCAGATGGCCTTGGAGCTCCCTTCTAGTGTGAGATTGTTGCCTTGTGATCCTTCACTTTACATAGAAACTGAGGCACAGTAGGTGAAGAGACTTCCCCAGGATCAGACAGCTAGAACCAGCTAGAGCCAGAACTAGAACCTGGACCTCTTCCTACAGTAATGACTGGGCAGCCCAAACTCAAGAGCAGTGCTGTTTGTCAGTGGTTAGACAGAGGAAGCAGGAAGGAAATATTGGTTGAAATGAAGGAATTTATGAATGGATTTCGTTTATCTGGATTCTCCCTGCCCTCCTCGATGACCCTCAGTCGCTGTCTTGTGCAGAGTAGATGCTTGTTTCATGTTTATTGAATTAAACTTAGCCTTAGCCAAGTTGTTTGTTCTGAGGTTGTTCAAGAAATAGGGTGGAAGAGTTGGGCGGAAGTTGGAGGCCTTGAGGGGAGGATCACAGAGCTTGGAGCCATTTAATCCAGCTGCTCTCCCCCTGCCACCCCCAAAGGATTCCCTGTACGACATCCCCACCAAGGGCTCATCTAGCCTTTTGTTTGAAGACCTTCAGGGACAAGGGCAGCCCAGCGGTCCTTGGGGTAGCCCATTCTGCTTCCACATAGCTCTCTTGGATGAGAGGGGTTTCCTGACATTTTGCAGCTTTCATCTGATGCTCCCAATTCTGCCTTCTGTGGCCAGGAGGAATAAGTTCAATGTCCCTTCCACATAGAAACCTTTCAAGGACTTGAAGGGTGCCACCTTGTTCCCCCTCCCCCGACTCTTCTCTTTTCTACCTTTCCACCATTTCTGATCTTCACTAGTCCTCACCCGCTGCTCTGTAGGCTTTTCATCGGTCCAGTTGCCCCCTTCTTTAAGTTCTCTAGCTCACCAATATCCTGGCTAAGCTACAGTGCCCAGAACCAGCCCAGTATTCCAGATGAGGTCTAGCCAGAGTGCCGAGAGCCTCTTACTTCTTTCCTTTCCCCTAGAAGCTATACTTACATGTATAGAAACACATTGTTTCTCCCTGTAGAACGTAAGCTCCCTGAGGATAAGACTGTTATAAAGGAAAATGATCATAGAAAACCAGTATGGATGGTTTCATCAGGTATGGGTCATGCCAAAGTAACCTTATTTCCTTTTCTGAAGAAGTTATTGAACAGGTAGAACAGAGGAATGCTGTAGATTTGGTTTCTCTACATTTTAGTGAAGTCTTTGGTAAAGTCTCTCTTGCAGGCTCTCAAAGAAGCCCATGCCTATGTGAGCCTTGTTTGAACACAGCGTTACTAAAGCCCACTAAGACTCCCAGATCTTTTCCAGACAAATAGCTCTCTAGCAATGCCTTCTCCATCTTGTATTTGTTAAGTCAGTTTTCTGAATCCAGATGTAAGACTTTATGTTTATTCACGTTAAACTTCACGTTGTTAGATTCAGCTTATACTCCTAATGTGCCAGGATCATTTTGGCTCCTGACTCTGCCTGTTCCTCCCAGCTTTTGTGATATATGTGGTAAGCATGCCATCATCTGTGCCCTCATCCAAGTAATTGATAAAAATGTTAAATGCTATAAGGCCAAGAAAGACCCCTCAGAACCTCCCCCGGAGGCCTCCAAGATAATACCAAGCTAATGATGGTTTCTTTTGGATCCAGCCATTCACGTGGCCCCAATTCCTTCTAATTCTACTACCATCTAGTCTAAATCCCTCCATATTTTCTGCAAGAGAGACTTTAGCAAAGACTTTACTAAAATGTACAGAAAGCAGATCTGCAGCATTCCCCTGCTCTACTAGTTCAATAATCTTTTCAGAATAGGAAATGAGGTTAATTTGGCATGTCCTGGACTTGATGAAACCATCCACACTGGCTTTCTGTGATCAGGAAACTGTCCTCAGGGAGCTTACATTCTATAGGGAGTAACAGTGTGTTGTTTATCCATGTAAGTGTATTCAAAATACATAAAAAGTAAACACAAGGTAATTTTAGGAGGGGCCAGGGTAACACCAGCAACTAGAAAGTGCAGATAAGAAAAGGTCTTTCCTAAGAGGGGGTGACTGAGCTGCGCTTCTTTGGAAGAAGTTAGAGATTCTAAGTGGAAGAGGTAAGAAGGGAGTGCCTTTGTAGGCAGCTAGATGATGCACTGGATGCGGTGCAGGACCTGGAGTCAAGAAGGCCCGAGTTCAAGTCTGACCTCATGCACTATTTAATGGCTTTGTGAGCCTGGGCATGTCACATCCATCTGCTTTTCTTTATCTGTAAAAGGTAGAATAACAGCGTCTACTTCCCAAGGCTGTTGAGAGGATAAAATAATTTTTATAAAGCATGTTGCAAACCTTAATGGGCTCTCAAAGAGCCAGCTGTGATTATTCTAGTTATGAAGGACAGCCTTTGCCATCCAGGAAATGGCAGATGAGTAAATACTGATTTATCACACAGACCAAAGATGCAAAAAGGATTTGCTCTATGTCATGCTGTCAGTACAGAACTCATGCAAAATCTCCTATGGCCTTCACATCTCCAGTACTGTATAATAGTCTCTTCACATACACTGTGATCACCACTTTTAACTCTCCCTGGGCCCAAAGTACCACTTTGAATGAACATATAGTTTTTCTGTGGATTGCCACCTTCACAGCATTGCCCTTGACTGTTGGCCATGCCTTCCATGGTCATGGAACCCAAAGCAAAGGCAAATGACCCTCATGGGTGTTAAAATTGGGACTAATGTCATTGACATCATGTCCTAACTTAGCCAGCCCACCCAGACACCTGGATATTCACTAACTGTGCCTTCAATAATACATATTCTGGCATGTGGCTGCAATGGAATCAAGTCCAAGCTCACCAGCCTACTTCTTGTCGATGCCACTGTCTTCCCTCTTTGGCAGCCAGAAAAATATTTGCCCTTTTCTCATCCTGTGGTACCTCTCCTGTTCTCCCCAGTCTTTCATTTGTCACAGAGAATAATTTCACCAGCCCCTGAAGAAGACACGTTTCATCTGTTTCAGGTGAACTGAACTTTTATCGGCAGCCTTGGTCTTGTCTTCATTATTTCCATATTTAACTTTGGTATCACCCTTCTCTTAGCCATTCTTGTTCTTTCCCATTCATCCAAAGGTCATTCTTGGCAGGAAAAAACAAAAATGGAAGCAAAATAATATTTGAGCAGCTCTGGCTTCCTTCTGTTATCAGTTACCACCATGTATCCACTTGGATGGGGCTCCAGCATGGAAAGAAGTGGGGAATTCATGGGGAGTACTCAGAAGAAAGTCATCTCTTTCTCCTAGGCAGTGATCAGTTGTTGTGGTTGCTGAGAATGTAAAGGGGAGTAGAATAACATGGAAGACCTGCCTCTGTTGGCCCTGGGCAAGTCATTTAGCCCTCTTTGCCTCAGTTTCCTCATCTGTAAATTGAGCTAGCGAAGGAAATGGCCAACCACTCCACTATCTTTGCCAAGAAAACCCCAAATGGGATCATGAAGCGTCGGACATGTCTAATTGACTAAACAACAACTTTACAGATGAGGAAACTGATCCGGACATATATTAAGTGACTTATCCAGCATCTGTGATGCAGCTTATAAGTTTCTAAGCCCAAATTTGAACTCAGGTCTTCCAGATTCCAGGTCTGGTACTCTATCCACTGGGGCTGCCTAGCTGCCTCTTAGGCATGTCAGTAATTTTTTTTAAGGAAATCATTATAAGGTAATAACATACTTCTCAGAGTTCTCACATTTTGCCTTGGGCATCGTGACATCTGCCCTCAAGGGCCCTTTGGGAAGACAACCTATGACATGGCATTGCTCAGTAACAAGTTAAGACCTAGCTATGTGGGGTGGCAGACATCATTTTTCTCAATTTATTGGTAGCCAGCTAGCTAATCGTGTAGCTTGTGCTGAGGCTCAGAACAAAGGATGTGTTGTTTTTCATTAATCCAGATAATAGGAGACTGAGATGGGAATCTGGGATCCTGGGTTCTCTGTGACTCTTATGTGCTTCACCAGAAGTCTTTGGCAAGTCACTTCTGCTCTCTCTGCCTCCGTTTCTTCTAGACTTCCCAGCACATTTAGAACTTGGTTGGGAGGATTGCTGAGTACTTTAGGATCTGGGAAGGGCCTAGTAATTGCAGGTTGTTGTTAGGCTTGAGTTCTTATGCAGAAATAAGACAGTTACTGTGTAAGTTAGGGTTGGGATTTCAAGGAACATAGACAAAGCCTCACACTAAACTGATCAAACTGTAGGATGTATAGATCTGGTACAACCATTTTAGTGGATATATTCATTTCTACAGAAAGGGTGCAGGACCTGTGTGCTCTAGCATCTCACTAGCCTCCCAGGTCCTTGCCTTGGCCTGATTCTGGGAATTAAGGCGAAATAGAAACTCAGATGCCTACCCAGGTTCAGGCCACCATTTGCAGATGGCATTGTCTCTGCTGTGCAGTTTTGTACGGAGGTAGGCAAAGGGAGCTGAACGCTCCAATCTAGGGTGAACAAAAAGACAAATCATGAATATGCCAGTTGGGAATGGGCCTAATAACCCTAAACACAAAATTCGGTAAAATTCCCGACTCCTTGGGAGTCGGGCTGCCCTCACACATAGTCATCAATCTTTCTAGCTGCTTCTAGCCTAGCTCTTAACCTTTCTATGGATCATGGCCTCCTGGCTGACTGATAAAACCTCTGGACCGCTTCTCAGAAGAATATTTTTAAATACATAAAAAAACCCCCATGAGATTACAATGGAAAGCTATGAAACTGAAATGTAGTTATTAAAGCGTTAAAAATAAGATAGGCAGGATTATAAAGGAAGGCAGTTCTAAAAAGTTCATGGATCTCTGCCCTAGCTGGATGTCTCTCTCTTCCTAGGGAATAGTAGCCTGTTCTAACTGGCCTGCATCATTCATCTAAAGCCGTTTTGCTTTAAAACGGTTTATCTCATGATTCTACTTCAGTGGGTTTTGGTTTTTGTAATTTTGTCAGTTTGAGAGAGTTGGATAGGACTCCCCAAGACTCTCTCCTCCTCTTTGGTGACAGTACTGTATTCAGTGCTGTCTTAACAGCATTGTTAACAGCCATGGGGTTTCACAGGCAACTTGATTTTAGGTGAGTTGATTTAGGCTTGGCATTGACTTAAATTATGAGCTCCTGTAGGCCAGACACCATGTTTATTTGCAAGCAGACCAAAGTTCAAATCCAGCCTCAAGTGATCCTAGGCAAATCACTTCACCAGTGTCTGCCTCAATTTCCTCATTTGTAAAACGGAGATGATAATAATAGTATCTACTCCCCAGGGTTGTTGAAAGGATAAAATGAAATAATATTTATAAAGCACTTTGAAATCTTAAAGTGCTATGTAAATGCCAGTTCTTCTTAGCGTTATTATTATTATATACAATGATTCTTATTAAAATATATCTGATGATCAATTACATAATGAAAGTCATTGGAAAGTCGAGGCTTCCCTAATCATGGCTTCATCTTTTTGCAGTTTTGCTGTGTCCAAGGGAGGCCGTTTGCTTCTTGCAGATGATATGGGTTTGGGAAAAACGGTTCAGGCCATCTGTATTGCTGCATATTACCGGAAAGAGTGGCCTCTGTTAGTTGTCACGCCTTCGTCAGTGCGGTTCACCTGGGAACAGGTTAATTCTTCATATGTGTATGTGTGGTAGTAAGGAAGACATTCTGGCTGGAGGGAATGGGTGACAGTGACAAGTGTAACAAAATTAGGGTGTACAGTTCCTTCCCTAAAGGCTTTTAAGGAAAGAATAAAGTTCCCTTTTGGCCAGTTTAGGGAATAGTCCTATCTAGATTATCTATCTTATGTTTATCATTCTTTGTTCTATCTATATCAGGTTAGGAAATTGGGTTCTAAGGATCCCAATTTACTTATATTTATTTACATTATATTTATATTATTTATATTTATAAAGAAATTTATTTTAATGTTTTTTCAGAAAGTGGGACTTTTTTTGTCCTTCATGGTTTTCATTTTTGATTTCTTGAAATATAGCTCTGGAAAGACAGGTTTTTCAAAAGCCTGTGTTTTAAATGGAGCTACTTGATTCCACCTTAAAACCCAAATCACTCTGGTTTTCCTTGAATGGCCAATAATAGCCCCAATCCAGGCCTCCCTGACTCCTTGTTTAGCTTTTGATGGCTTAGAATGAGTGTAAATAGCATTTGTTTTCTATTCTGGCCAGAAACTGAAGGTCTTTCCCTCCCAGATTGATATCTTTGTGATGGTAAATTGAGCCATAGTTTGTCTCTACTCTTACCCAGCCCTTAGTCATTGAATGGGCGTGGTTTCAGATAAACTAAAACCTAGGAAAGACCTTAATTTAGAAAGGCCAAGATCACCCATTGCATCCTGGGCCATTACCAGTCCTCTTAACCTGTGTTTTGCCACTGGGCTTCCGTGACTGGAGGAGACAATGAGGCTGAGGACTTAGCCAGTTAGCACAGCTCTGCCCTCCTCACTTATAATTCATGTGCAAGTCAAGACATCACCCTAGTGATTAATCAATCATCTGGAATCTACCCAAGATACAAAGACTGAAGTAAAACAACCCCTGCTCTTCAGAGGCTTACATTCAAATTCCTGACAGGTGACAAAGTTAGTAACCCATAAAAAACTGAGAACTTTCGGGGCCTAACACCTAAGTCTTGTGCCAGACTTTTCTACCCACTGGCTAGGAAAGACTGAACTACTTCATTAATGTACTACAGTGTAAGAACAAGAAAGTATAGATTAAAAATCTGTGTCTTCAGCCAGCTCTTCAATAATTATTTTGGCTTCCCAACAACTTGGTCCTTTCCTGAGGCCTCCCTGATCAAGGCAACAGCGTTGTCTGTTCTGGGCTAGCCCAGTGTCTACACAAGCATGCAGATATCATGTTCTCTACTGATAGGGAGAAGCAGAGCTTTCTAGTATATGCCTAAAAACCAGTCATTCTGTCTTTCTTCCTGTCGATCACATTCTTTCATTGCTTCTGGTAACTAAGCATTTCCCATTTGTTTATTTTGTGCTGCTTGTTAGATCATCGTATGCAGTACCATTCCCTTGAATAAGTCAGGGTGCTTTTCAGAGGAAGAGTTGAAACCATCTCAGACTGTACAAATTCTGTGGCAAGGGTCCTTAACCATCTTTGGGGCCTGGACCTTTTGGCTTCTGCTGAAGCCAGCACTTTAGTTCTCGGAATAATGTTTTTAAATGTGTAAGATACCTAGGATTATAAAGGAAACCAGTAATACTGAAGTAACTTTTTCCCATTCAAGTTCACAGACTCTCCTGAAATCTGTATGGGGACCCCTGCTGTCAGGAGACACAGAAAAGCTTGGGGAGGAGCAGGGGAGCAGAGGAGGGATAGGAAGAGAAGGAAGGAAGGAGGGGAAACAGGCAAAACATAGTGGTCCTGGGGTATTGGATAGCACCAGGCAGACACAGGGAGGGTACAGATCCTGCATCCTGACCCATGTAGGATCCCCAGATGGCTTTCCTTTGGCTCCACATATGGGTTTGACAGGTTGAGGCAAACATGAGAGGATTTCTGCAGTAAGCAGATGGCTTCACAAATAATGTTTACCCTCAATTACCTTCATCCTTACCATGCATCAGTATTTAGGGCTTATCTCTTTTTTTTAAATAAAAGGGGGCTGTGCTAGGTACTCTGTGAGATGTGCTTAATAAGAGTTACATTCCTTGATGTGCTCACAGTTGCTATAGAGGCTACAGAGATGAAACAAATATGAATAACAAAGCAAGGGTACTCATTTTGAGAAAGAAAAGGGAGTTTTTATGGGGCTTTCAGGCTTATTTAAAGGAGAAATGTAGAGATAAATGTTGGGTGGCCAGAAAGAGGTGACAAACAGTAGTGGGGGATGGGGGGGTGGAAAAAGGGAGATGAGATGACCAGATTACACTTTCTGGGCCTTGTACCTCCTAGTATAGACCATCTCAATTGGGTTTGCTTCTCCTTTCCTATTTAGGCATTCCACCGATGGCTGCCTTCCCTCAGCCCAGAGAGCACCAATGTGGTAGAGACGGGGAAGGACAGTTTGACAGCTGGCTTGATCAACATCTGTAGTTTCGACCTCCTGAGCAAGTTGAAAAAACAAGTAAAAACTTCCTTCCAAGTAATCATTATTGTAAGTGGCCTTGTCTCTTTGTGGTTCCTTTCTCCTCCAAAACTCAAAGTTCGTTTGTTCATAGCTTCTTGAGCCTCTTACGCAGCTCTGGGAGATCAGGAATTGTTTTCTCTATTTTGACAATGGGCAGTTCATCCCTCTGTAGTCTGAATGGGGGCTCTGCTCCCTTTAGGAGAGGTCACAGATGGGAGCCATCATAGAAGGAACCCTAGAGAGGCCAGAGCCTCAGCAGCCTGCCCTAGAACTGTTCACAGTGTATGTCCTCAGCCCAGGGTGCAAGGACCGTGTCCGCTCAAGCTGTCCTCGTTTTCTGTTACATTTGAATAGCTTAATTCCATTTTTAAAAAATATTTTATTTTCCCCTCAATTACGTGTAAAAACAATTTTAACAATTTTTTTTTAAAGTTTTGAGTTCCAAATTCTGTTCCTCCCTCCATTCCCTACCCACAAACAATAAGCAATCTGATATAGGTTATACATGTGCAATCCTGTAAAACATTTACATATTAGTCATTTTGTGCAAGAAGATTTGAACAAGAAAGGAAGAAAGAAAGGAAGGAAGGAAGAGAGAAATAGTATATTTCAGTCTGTGTTCAGACAACATCATTTCCTTCTCTGGGGGTGAATAGCATTTTTCATCATGAGTCCTAGGGGATTGTCTTGGATCATTGCATTGCTGAGAATAGCCAAGTTATTCATGGTTTTTCATCATACAGTTTGCTCTTACTGTGTACAGTGCCCTCCTGGTTCTGCTCATTTCACTTTGCATCAGCTCATGTCTTTCCAGGTTTTTCTCAGAGCATCCTGCTCCTTATTTGTTATAGAACAATAGTATTCCTTTATATCCATGTACCACAACTTGTTTAGCCGTTCCCCAATTGATGAGCATCCCCCTGATTTCCAGTTCTCAGCCACCACAAAAAGAGCTGCTATAAATATTTTTGTACGAATAGGTCCTTTCTCTTTATTTGATGTCTTTGATATACAGACCTAACAGTGGTATTGCTGGATCAAAGGGTACACACAGTTTTATAGCCTTTTGGGCATAGTTCCAAATTGCTCTCCAGAATGGTTGCGTCAGTTCACAGCTCCATCAACAGTGCATTAGTGTCCCGTTATCCCACATCTCTCCACCGTTTATCATTTTCCTTTTCTGTAATATTAACCAATCTGGTAGGTGTGAGGTGGTACCTCAGAGTTGTTCGAATTTGCATTTCTCTCATCAATAGTGATGCAGAATTTGCTTAATTTCTGGAGATCAGTAGGAATGCTTTGTCCTCAAGGAACACTCTAATTAAAATTTCAACAAAGCCACCCTGGCTGCATTGCTGTTTGACAAAGGATCTCTCAGTGTATCTCTCTCCTTCTTTGACTCCCCAGACTCTCCATGCCCAGCCAGCACTGCCCATGCTCAATCTGGCCTCAATGGGAATGCTGTAATGATACGGCCTGTGGTTATCAGTTTTCAATAAAAATTTCTCCTACTCTCCATTTGCATGAACAGAACAACCTAACCCCTCCTCATAGGACCCTAGGTTTAGTGGGACCTCTATGGTCATCTTGCTTAATCCCTTCATTTAACAAAATAATAATTTTATGAGCATTTTTTATCTCTCCCCACTCTTCTACCCTTATCGAACAATAAAGAATAAATTAAAAGAAAAACCTTATAATGAAGGTGTATAACCCAGCAAAACAAATTCCCACGTTGGCCACATCCATAATGGTCTGCCTCATTCTGTTGTTTAGGTTCATCCTCTTTTTGGCAGGAGGTGGATGACATGTTTCATCTTTAGTCTTCTGGACTCATGATTTCTCGTTGAATTGATCAGAGTTCTAAAACCTTTCAAATTTATTTCCCTTTATAATGTTATTTTATACATTGTTCTCCTGTATCTGCTCAGTTCACTCTGCATCACTTCATAAAGATCTTCCCAGTTTCTTCTGGAGCTGTCTTTTCTTGTGGCGCAATATGTGCAATCTATTCTGATGCCACAGTTTGTCTAGCTATTCCTCGGTGGTTCAGCTCCTTCATTTCATGAATGAACATCGTGATGTGTGGGGGCCTGCTGTTCCCTAACAGAAGTAAAATTCAAAAAAGCCGTTTCTTCTCAACCATGCCATCCTCTAATAACATTGGGCGCTCATAGTTTGCACTCCAGAAATCACTTGATATGTCTTCAGCAAAACCCAACAAAGGATGGTGAGATGTTTCCAATTTTTATTTTTGAGATGTTGATAAAACATATCCTTTTAACGTGGCTGCACAAGTCACCCATTGATTGCTCTTCCCGTCTGTTGAGAATTGTGCCAAACGTTCTGGGGAAGCTACAAAAAAGAAGGCTGGGTCTCCTTTAATTTAACATTCTGTTTTGTGCACGAATACCAGGTCACATGTGGCATCTACCTATCTTTGCAAAAAAAAACCAGGCATGTTTCATTTTTATATATTTTTCCAAGTTATGTTTTCCAAGGCTAGACACGTAAGTCATTAGCGTTCAGTCTTCTGAACAGTCCCTGATTTGGTGCACATTCAGTTGTGATTCTGAATTAAAGGAAAAAAAGTTTTCCATCTATTTTAAACAGATAGATGACTTGGGTTAGAAGTCTCCAGTGTGGGGGGGAGGCAGTTTTGGATCGAAACTGAACGATTCCTCCCCTTCTAGTCGCTAGTGGTTCAGCCGCTAATCTGCATGTGAGATTTCAGGCAGGCCTCCGGCTTCGTCAGTGTCCCAGTTTTCACAGTGTTAAATGAGACAACAACCTCTGTCCTCGTCTGACTTCACAGAAATATTACATCCAAGAGTAAAGTGATGCTTGTGTGGCATGTTCAGACTTTTTTTAAGAAAAGATTTTTCGTTTTGTGATAGAAGATGTTCTTGATGATTAGATAGAACAAGCATCAGCATGCTAAGGTCCAAAGCTGGATAGGTCCTGGGAGATTATTTAGTGTGGTTCCATCATTTAGAGAGGAGGAGGAGGAGAAGACTAAGGAGGAGAGGAAGAGGAGGAAAAGATGAAGGTGAATTGATTTGCCTAAAGTTGCACTTATCTTTAAAATGAGGGAGCAGATCTATATCCATATGAAAAAATGCTTTAAATCATTAGTGATTGGAGAAATGCAAATGAAAACAACTCTGAGGTACTACCTCACACCTATTATATTGGCTAACATTATGGAAGAGGAAAATGACAGATATTGGAGGGGTTGTGGGAAAATTGAGACACTGATGCACTGTTGGAGGAGTTGTGAACTGATCCAACCATTCTGAAGAGCAGTTTGGAACAATACCCAAAGGGCTATAAAACCATGCTTGACCCAGTAATACCACTACTAGGTCTGTATCCCAAAGAGGTGAAAAATAAAAAGGAAGAGGACCTATAGGTACAAAAATATTTATAACAGATATTTAAATGGTGGCAAAGAATTGAAAACTGAGAGGATGCCCATCAATTGGGGAATGGTTGAACAAGTTGTGGTATATGATTATGATGGAATACTATTTTTCTATAAGAAATGAGGAGCAGGATGATCTCAGAAAAGTCTGGAAAGACTTCTATGAACTGATGCAAAGTGAAATGAGCAGAACCAGGAGAACATTATTCACAGTAGCAACAATATTGTAAAATGATCAACTGTGAATGACTTAGCTATTCTCAGCAATACAGTGATCCCAGACAATTTTGAATGACTTGTGATGAAAAATGCTATCCATCCCCAAGGGGGGAAAAAATTGATGGAGTTTGAATGCAGATTGATGCATACCTTTTTTACTTTATTTTTCTTGGGGGTTTTTTTTGTCTTTATTGTCTTTTATAACATGACTAATATAGAAATATGTTTTGAAGGACATATGTATAGCCTATGTATATAGGTATATCATGTATATCAAATTGCATATCAAATGTGTATCAAATTTCTTGCCTTCTCAATGAGGGGAGAGGGGATGGAGGGAGAGAATTTTGAACTCAGAATTTTAAAAAGCAAATGTTAAAAATTGTTTTTACATGTAATTGGGGAAAAATAAAATACCAAATAAATATTTTTTTAAAAAGACATATAAAAATATAAAATAAAATAAAAGGAGGGAGCAGAAAGTCAGAGAGCTGAAGTTACTTTCCTGCTCAAAGTCATAGCAGAAGTGGAGTTTGAACTCCAGTCCTCCTGATTCTTCCCTCCACTTTCCTAGCTAAAATGGGCATCTCTGACAAGAGGGTTTTCTCCTGTCTGCAGTCAAGCTCTACCTGGCAGGATCCATTATCAGGAGAGCAATTTCCTCCCTAGATTGGCAGGATTTTTCCCCTTCTTTAATCGGCTCATTCATGGGAGGAGGTGACAACTGTGTCTGGTTTTTGTTTGCTTGTTTGTTTTAGTCCTGGGATCCGCTTATTTTCCTTCCTTTAAAGGAAAGCCACATTTTCTTGTGCTCAAAATATGTAGCCCTGAGATAACGGTATTCCAAGGATGTAACCTGCACCTGGCTGTCTTGTCTTTTTAAGGCATTTCTGCTGTTATCAGTTCCCTCTCCAGGGCTGTCCAGAAGCCAAGGGAGGCGAAAAACAAGCTAGCATTGGGTAGAAACAGATCTTACATTAGGTAACAATGAAGCATAATAGAAAAGGGAGGAATTGGACCTCAGTGAATCCATACCCCCTCCTCTAAGCCTAGCCCAGGCCTTTCCATTGTCTGACTAAAGCAACCTTACTGAAAGTCCTCAAATTTACCAGCCCATTCTTCCTCCCCCCACCCATGTAACAGTGGACACTGAATCAAAGAACTGAAAAGATTTTTGCTGCTTGCCTAGTTTCTCATTACTAGAGTTTTGCTTTCTCTCTTCTTTTAAAATTTAATTTAATTTATTTTTTGTTAGAAAAATTTTAAGTTCCAAACTGTTTCCCTTTATCCCTCTCTTACCCACAATAGAGAAGGCCACCATTTGGCACAGATGTGTGTGTGTGTGTGTGTGTGTGTGTGTGTGTGTGTGTGTGTGTGTGAGAGAGAGAGAGAGAGAGAGAGACAGTGTGTGTATAACTATACTATATATATATATATCTATATATCTATATATCTATATCTATGTATGTAAATAAATCATACTTATATTTGTAACTTCTTTCTTTTGAAGTGGATAGCATCTTCATAGGTCCTTTGTAGTTGATTTGAGTATTTATAATACTCAGAATAACTTAGTCATTCACAGTTATTCTTTGAACAGTATTGTTGTTACTATATACAATATTCTCTTGATTTTTCTTATTTCACTCTTTCATGCAAGTTTTTCCATGTTTTTCCAAAATCAACCTGCTCATAATTTCTTATAGGATAGTAAGTATTCCATCATAATCACATACCAGAGCTTGTTTATCCATTCCCCAGTTGATGGGCATCCCCTCAATTTCTAGTTCTTTGTCACCAAAAAGAGAACTGTTATAAATATTTTAGAACATATAGGTTCTTTTCCTTTTCCCCTAATCACCTTGGAGAACAGACCTAATAGTGGTATTGCTGTGTCAAAGGGTATACACAGTTTTATAACTCTTTGGGCATAATTCCACTTTGCTCTTCACAGTGGTTGGATCAGTTCACAGTTCACTCAACAATGTATTAATGTCCCAATTTTCCCACATCTCCTCCAACATTTGTCATTTTCCCTTTCCCCTATTTTAGCCAATCTGATAGATATGAGATGATATCTCAAAATTGTTTTAATTTACATTTCTCTAATCAGTAATGATTTAGAGTATTTTTTTCATCTGACTACATATAGCTTTTATTTATTCATCAAAAAACTGCCTGTTCATATCCTTTGCCTGTTTATCAAATGCAGAATGACTCATTTCCTTATAAATTTGTCAAAGTTCTCTATATATTTGAGATATGAGACTTTTTCCAAGAAAGTTTTTTTTCCCTATTTTCTGCTCTTCTTCTAATTATTGGTTTTATTTGTACAAAACATTTTTAATTTAATTTAATCAAAAGTATCCATTTTACAACTTACAATGCTTTTTGTCTCTTGTCATTCAAAAATTCTTTTCCTGTCTGTAAGTCTGGGAGATAATATGTTTCTTGTTCTTCTAATTTACTTATCTCCCTTTATATCAAGGTCACATCTCCATTTTGACCTTATCTTGGTAAATGGTATAAGATATTGGTCTGTACCCAGTTTCTGCCAGACTGCGTTCCAAATAGTGAATTCTTGTCCCAAAAGCTTAAATCTTTACATTTGTCGAACACAAGGTTACTGTAATCATTTACTGCTGTGTAACGGCCTTTTGCAAGTGATGATTTACGAACTTCATCATAAAGATTAGTTTCTTATTTCATTAGGAGAAGCGTAATGAATGTTGTTTCCTTCCTTGCCTGGACAGTCGCTCCCGATTTGTCCAAGATGATATGAGTAAAACCTCCTCTGGGCTACCCAGCTCCCAATTAATTAATCAAGTCTTTCTTGAGTGTTCACCACTGTAAGTGATACATTACGGTCTTCACCCACAAGGAGTTTACTGCCTGCTTTGGGTAAGAAGACATTAAAAAAAAAAACAAGAACGTACGTGACCGTGACATAATGACACTTAAAAAAGATTGGAGTAGAATTTTGAGTGTTTGGCTTCATAGTTAAGTCACGTTGGAAGGTTGTGCACTTACTGCAGAGATTGGCTGATGTTGCTCAGACCTCTCCTGGAGCAGTTTGGGAAGGTCTTCACAGCCAGTTGAGCAGCCCCACAGTCTCTTTGCCAGATACAGGGGGTACGTTTTACCCCACTCCCCTTTTATAATTTGGAATTCTGTCACCGGATCTCTTCATCTCCCTTAGTCATGATTCTTGACTTTGACTAGCTTGTACCTATTGTCACCACCAGTTAATCAAATCCCCCCTCAAAGGGTAAAGATTCCCCATCATTGAGGATGTTGGGAAGACTGGGCTGTGGACTGCAGAAGTGGTTCCAGAGGAGAGTTCCAACAATGTAGTCGGGTCAATAAAGCTTTATTTGCTGTTGCTGTGGTGGTGTAGTGAGTAACAATCAGCCAATCAATAAACATTTATGAAGTGCCTGCTGTGGGCCAGCACTGTGCTGAGAGCAGCAACCTGTATCCTCCAGACTGCTGACCGCTAACTCTGCTCAGATCACATCCCTTAATCAAGAAGACTGCTTTGAAGAGAAGAGCCGTCTTTGGGTCTCTGAGCTCCAGGAATTAGGCCTGTTTCTTGAGGCCATAATTGTAGAAGTTATAACTATGAGGAAGCAGTGTATTACTATGAAAAGAGCCCTGGCCCTGGAGTCAGACGACCTGCCTCTGGTCCTTATTGCCTGTGTAACCTTGGATAGGTCACTCCACCTCTTTCTGCCTCAGTTTCTTCTCTGTAAAATGGGGATAATAATAGTTCCTAATCTCCCAGCATTGTTGCCAGGATCTAATAAGGGAAAATATGTAAAGTGCTTTGCAGATTTTCAAGCACTCTATACATGTTTGCTCCTATGAACCCTCATTTAGGGGAGATACCGAGGTATGTGGGAAAGAACCCTGGATGTGGAATGAATGTGCACACCTGGGCTGAGCCTCTCAGCCCTGCCATTGTCTAGAAGGGAAACCCAGAGGAATCCACTTAAATTTGCTGAATGGCCCTCATTTTCCTCAGTCTTGTGGAGGGGGTTCTGGGTTGGATGATAATGCCACCCCTGCTTCCTCATCTCCCAAGGTTGTTGTGAGATTCAGAAAGGGGGATGTTTGTGGAGCTGGTCCTTGTGTGAACTGCGAATTCTGCTTGTTTCCTCTCAGGACGAGTCGCATTTCCTGAAGAACATGAAGACCGCCCGCTGTCGAGCTGCGATGCCTCTCCTCAAGGTGCGTACATGCTCCCACAGCCAGCCAGCAGGCTGGGTCATCATTGAGGTGAGGGCAAGCTGGAGACACACCAGCTGTGACCTGAGGCCCACAGGCGGAGTCTGGGTTTTAGACCTGACGCAGCCCTGCCTTCCCAGACTAAGGTACCTTGTGTTTATTTAGCCCTGTCAGGTCTCTTACCTCATTTGTCGTTACAGGTAAGTGTGTGCCCGATGCCTTCATCTCTCTGTTAAAGCTGGGACTCCAGACACCAAGGCATCAGCTCAGGGTGACATGTTGAAGGAGGGCTAGCCAATAAGGAGAAACAGTTCCTTCTTCCTTCCTTCCCTGCCTAACTGACAGCCAAGTAATAGAGTAATAAAATAAAATAATAACTGACATTGACATTTACAAAGTGATTTATTTACCTTACCTCTTCAGAATCTCACAATGACCCTATGAGGGAATTACTGCAGATATTATTCCCATTATACAGGTGAGGTCATTGAGGCTCAGAGAAACTAAGGCACTTGCTTGTGGTCACCCAGCCCATGATTATCAAAGAACAGATTTCATCCTGAGGCCTTTCTGACTCTGAATTCAGTACTCTATCCCTTGTGACATAATGCTTCTCCAGAAGCTCTGTAGTAATCATTATTTTTATTATCATTGTAGGTGTTATTACTAACAGAAATTACAACAGTTACAGTTATTATGATCACTGTCATTGTTGTTGTGACCCATCAACCACAATGATAATAATAGTTGGCATTCCTGTGGCACTTAAGCTTTGGTAGGTGTTTTCCATGCATCTCTCATTTCTCATGTAAGCAAATTGTACTGAATTAGAGTCAGGCTCTGCCTTCTCCACTCTCAGGGGAAAGGTTGGAGTCAGTGGATTGTGCCCATCACTAGAAGAGACAGAGAAGTCCCCAAACTGGCCCTTAGCTTGACAGAGTATGCCATGCCCCAAGCCTGGGTGTTCTAGATAAGCCTCAGTCATCTATATTTATCTGTTCTAGTCTAAATTTGTTTCCCGAGTGGCTTATCTATAGGGGCATTCACATATTCAGAAAACAAGGAAGATAGCGCATGATGTTTTTATCAATATGATAATGTGCCCTAAGAAATTATACAGATTTGCATCCCCCATAATGGACAGAAGGTCCACAAGTCTTTTAGGGGTGAATTTTTTTAATGTCACTTCTGCGAGAAAAGAAATTTTTTTCTTCTGTGTAAAGTTGTGTGATGACTTCTTCACTTTCTCGTCCATAATATTTCCAAAGGAGCCCACTTGAGTTGTAAATCGAATTCACAAAAGCATCTTTTTCTGATTTTGATTTCCATTTTGTTAAGGAAGATTTCGTTTTACAACTACTTTTTTTTTTGTAAAATTCAGTTTTTGCTGCTTAAGAGAAGGCTTACATTTTGTGTAAAATGAAAATTGGGAAGCCAGATGACACACTAAATATTGGTTAAACTGATTTAAATTTTTGACCTTAAAGTGCTTTTTAAAAGATGTCCTTTGGAATAGCAAGTAACATCATCCATCTAGCAAGGCTAGATTATTTTGTGTGCTGTAAATTAAAAAATAAAAATAAAAAATTCTTCATCGAAAACCTTGATTCCCACTTCTTATTTCTTATAAATATTTATATGTCCATAACCATTATGGGCATGTTTAAATGAAGCATTTTTCCCAGGGTGACGATCCTTCTTTGGAGAGCACTTAATATGCCTTTTTAGAAAAATCTTACTGGAGCAGGGTACTGTGGTTCTAATATTACAGCTATAACTAAAATTAAATTTGCCTGGCTTGATTGTTTAGACAAAAGAAATGGCACAATAGATAAATTACATCATTAAAGTTATAATATGAAACTTTCTTAGCATTGGCCTTATTAATGTTGACATCTCCTTGTTAGCCTGAATGGTGCTGCATATTGCTTTCTCCAGAATATACGATTGTGATCCCTACCCTTTAAAGTGGTGTTTGAATTTTTAATATCTTGTTGTAGTTGAATGTTTTTCAGAGCGACACTGTTACAACTGATCTCTTAACTTCTAATTCATATATATGGTTCTGGTTTTGGTTCAGGACACTGACAGACGAGTACTTTTAAATAGGACCCACGAATACGTCCTGTGAATTATGTTACTGCCATTTATGAGGGTGTCTTGAAATCAATCTCTCCTTTATCTTCACCTTTGCTTTCAAATGCACTGTTCTCTGGGTTGTAGCTGGGATCATCTTTCTCCTGTTGGCCAGACTCATCTTTTGCCCTTATTTCAGTCTTGATGCTCTTGAGAATCATCTGAATATTCTTGGATTGAGAAAGTAGGTAAAAGGACACCCTAATCAAGCATAGCATTAAGTTCCCCCTAAAGATTCATCCTAACTCAAAATTTAAAAAAAAAGCGAATGTTAAAAATTGTTTTTACATGTAATTGGAAAAAATAAAATATTAATAATAAATGTATAAATATTTAAAATGAAAAAAAAAGGACCCCAATAGTGTATACTAGGATGAGGAAAGGTTTTGAATTGATACTGTACAAGAATCACTTGAAGGGATTGGGGGTGTTCAGCCTGGAGGGTAAATAAAAGAAACTATGATGAAAGAAAAAAAAAAAGACCCATCCTAATGCTATGTGGTTAGCTATCTGATTTTGTGTTCTAGTACTGGGTACTAAAAACCAGTATCAGCTGCTGCATGATGAGAGAGGTAAATTAAGTCATGCCCAGGTCCTGATTAGGACAGGGCCATGAGTGATGACTCTGCCCCAGTATATTTTTTTCCCTGTGGTGTTTGGGATATATACATTCATTATTGGCACGTTTTTGTTGCTTTTGCCTTTGGGGGGTTCTTGTTTACATCTCTTAATGTTTTCACTATGAAATCTAGTTTATCTGATGCTGTGATAGCCCCCTCCTCTGCTTTTCTTATATTTGCATGGGCATGGTAAACCGCAGACCATCCCTTGACTTTATTCTGTTTGTATTTTATGGGCAGTTGCTTAGTTTTTATTTTTTAATCATCAATGACCCTTCTTTTTATTAGGAGAAGTTGGATCTTTTAAAATAAACATTATTGATACATCTGTGCAGTCTCCTGTTGCTGTATTTCTCTACCCTTAATTGTTAACTGTTCTTTGCTTTCTCTCTTCATTTATGTGATTTCTAGTGTTAACTTAACATTTTATAGTTTCTTTTAGAGTGGATTGGAAGGACTCGGGGTGCAGAGATTGAGGCATATATTTTTTGGACACAGCCAGTGTGGCAATTTGTTTTGCTTGACTGTGCATATTTGTTATGAGGGTTCTATTTTTTCCCCCCACTGGGGCCAGGAGATGTGGGAGAGAGAAAAAGGAATTTTTGTTACTGGAAAAAAATTAATTTAAAAAATTCACAAGATTTGAAGGTAGCCTAACCTTACATAAATTTTTTCTAACTTTTTAACATCAACATAACTATTACCATTTTCCCACTTTTATTAAATAAACTTTTATTAAATAATAAACCTTAAACTTCCTTTTCAAAGTGACCTCCAGTCTCTCTTTTTAGGTTTCCTCCTCCTTACCCCCACCCACACTTTGGTCAGTGCTAGACTTGGATTAGGTACAGACCTGGGCTTGTAGAGCTTTGTGACCATAGGCAAGTCATTCACCTGTCTGAGCTTTGGTTTCACCATCTGTAAAATGGAGATCATACCCCTATAAAGTCCTCTGTCATGAGAATCAGATGATCATACATTTAGAAGTGGGGGGAGGGGTGGCCTTAGAGACCAATCGCATTTTACAGATAAAAGCAAGTGAATCCCAGAGGGGTTAAGTAACATTGCCCAAGGTCACATAGCTTAATAAACAATCAATTTAAACCCAGAGCCAGAGGGCTTCAAGTCCATCGCCCTTTACAGGGTACCACCCTGTCTCTGTGATGTGTATAGAGCAATTTGTAACCTTACAGCCCTGGGACGGGGTGTTATTTTTCATGTTACATATTGGTAGTCTAAAACCCTTAACAGATGTTTGTTGAATTTATGAAATTCCATGCACATCTTACAATTAATTTGTGGCTGTATTGTCTAATGTACAGATTGATTTTGCTGTCTTATCATGCGACTTTCTCCAGTAGCCTCCTGAGTGGACTCCCTGCTTCCAGTTTTTTTCCACACAGTTGCCAAATTAATATTCCTAAAGCATAAATCTGACGAGGTGATTTCCTTGCTCAGAAATCTTTGGTAGCTCCCTGTTGTCCTTAGGCTAAAATACAGAATCTCCAGCCTGGCCTCTAAAGGCCTCCACAACCTGTCTCCCACCTACCTACTGGATCATTTTCGTGGTGTCCCCATTCATGAGCCCTGCAAACCCCAAACTGGCCACCTGACTGTGTCCCAAAGTCCATCAAAGTTCCGTCACTTGTCTCTGCCTTTGCCCAGGCCGTCTCGTGCCTTTGGTGTTCTCCCACCTCACCTCTGCCTCCTCTAGTCCTTAGCTTTCTTTTTTGAGGCTCAGCTCAGATGTCCCTGCCTCCCCAAACCTTTTCCGACCCTCCTCTACCTACCTACTTATCTGATTACGTCCATAATCCTTCCCCCAGCAGGGCAGAAGCTTCTTGAAAACAGGCACTCTTTGGGTTTTGGCTTCATTTCCTTACTATCCCGGTGGTACATAGCAGGTACTTAATGTCTCCTGAATTGAATCAATCTCTTCTTACTCTCAGTTGCCCTCAGATGGGTGTTCTTGGTTTCTGCTGACCCGTGTAAGGATTCAAGGGTAAATGTAAGCTTAGCCTAGGCTTGCTTAGTCACAGGCTTGTTTCTCTTAGCTTTGGGTAGGCAGCCCTTTCTTTGTCAGAATCTCAGGGGCCAGGTCTGAAATCGTTCTTATCCTTGTATCTCTAAATACTGTCTACTTTTTTCTAGAAGCTCATAAGAGCTTATATTTGTCTTTATAAACTGGACAGGTAGGCATGTGTGAGGGTGGGAAGTAGGGACTTTCTTTTAGTACTATACTGGAAT